GGCGGGAGCACCAGCTCATTTGCATTTAAAGGTACAAACACAAAAACGGCAAGGTTTGGCTCATACCCTAAAAGTGGCCATTTCAACAAGCTATAAATATGATCTGTGAGGTATTTTGAGCTAAAACTTCACATACACACTCTGGGGACATCAGAGACTTATTTTACATCTTGTAAAAAGGGGCATAAAAGGTCACCTTTAAGCAAACATAAATGGCTAATTTGTAGTAGTCTATTATTTGGAGTAGTACCTGCCCAGCAGAAACTACCCAAAAACCTTTTAAAATCAGTCAACACACAAGTTTTGTCAGGTTGGGAGACCGGCTAAGATCAGATAACCAGCTTAGGCTGTCACAGGTTTAGGAAATGTGTCATTGAATTTTAATATGGCAGAAGATGAACCTTTGTTGTTTCTGTAGCGCCACAGCAGGACCAAGAAGACAATGATCAAAAATGTGAGTCCAGCAGTCACTCCAACTATCACAGGATTGAGACCATCAGATCCTGATGTTCTGGAGGAAGCTGAGATCAATACATTGTACAGTCATATTAGTGCTGTATATTATCCAGAAGCATTTCAATAGTGTTTACAGTTCCTACTCTCACCTGTGACTGAGATCCAGCTCTTGCGTGACTCTCCTCTCTCTGTGTGTTTGCAGGAGTAGAAACCCTCATGTGACTTTGAGACAGCAGGGATGATCATCTCTGTAGTTTGACTCTGGATGAGTGATCCATCTTTATAGAAATCAGCTCTGAGGTTTGGTGGGGTTGAATGATGATATAAACAGCGTAGAGTCAGAGTTTCTCTTTCAGTCACAGGATGAACAGGACTCTCCAGAATCACACCAGCTACAGAAACAGAGCAAACATCAACTGACAACTAGTAAGAATCAATGTGGTGACAACAACAACAACAATAATAATAATAATAATAATAATAAAGCATTTTATTTAGAGGTGCCATTCAAAATACGCAAGAACACCTTACAACTTAACGATCAATCATAAATTAAAAGGCAGTAATACAATCAAAGCAACATCTATTCAACATTAAGATAATCCACAAATTAAAATTAATCAGGAAAAGCTCATTTAAAAAGATGAGTTTTAAGATGTGATTTAAAAGCAAGAAGAGAATCACTTTCACAAACAAGTTGTGGAAGAGAGTTCCAGAATTGAGGAGCAGCACAGGAGGAAATGAACAGGAGGAACAACAAGAGAAACAGATGTGTCAGGGTCTGACGTCTGGTGTTCTCCCTCTCACCACCAGAGGTCGCCATTTCCCATCCTCCCGGACTCCTTTTCCGTTACCTTGACTCCACAAACCTGTGCACACACTCACTCACGCACAGCTGTTGCCCATCCTGAGCACTATTTATACGCCTTCCCCAC